ATATACCATTCTCTTCCGGTTCTTTACTTGGTAAAAGAGCGTCATCTCCAAATAATTCAACAAGACAACTTTTTGTTTTTTCAGACAACGTTGAATTTGAATCATTTTTATCACACGACTTCTGTAATTCAGAATTAGAAGCTTCTGGATCAATGTCATTCAAATAATTATCAACATCCGTATTTGATGGAATTGTAATGATGTCATCACGTTTTGATAAACCTAAATTCTTATCCGAATTTCTTCTATCCGAAATATCGTCATCTGTACTATCAGAATCAGAATATGGATTTCCGGGAGAATGTTTGGAAGATAAAATACTAAAGAGACGGTCTAACTTACTGTCCATACACTGAATTTTCGAATCAAATTTTTCTTCCAGCATCTGATATTTAGTTTTTCCCGAATCCTTGCTTCGAGAATTTGAACGTTTCTTAGTCGGGGTTTTCCCTTGAAACTGCACAGAATCTCCCTCGCCTTCTAATTGCGCTTCACGCGAAGGCGTGGATTCATAATCCAATATTTCTCCGTCTTCTTGCTCTTTGGAGCGACGGATTTGTTCTTCCGACATAGTATTGTCAAAAAATAATTTTCACAAACAAATATAAAATAAGATACGAGTCTACTGGAGCGATGTAAAACACGTCCGATTTGTACGGTCGCCAAGAACGAAAGCGAGGTCACGTGGTCTAAACGGAAGTGCGTGCTTGATTGGTTATCTGAAAGTGAGGTTGGGAAAACACTCACTAACCAAAACAAGCGAGTCATAAGTAGGTCGCAAGCGAAATTCTGAATGTAGCATTCTAGGTAACGTATTGTATGAAATAAAATCAAGAATTTTTCAGAGAATTATTATCTTTACAAATTGCAGATATGAAATTAAAGAATGAAAATATTTTCATATTGTAAATGTCTGTGATGAGTGATGAGTCAGCTTAGAAAAAATCAAGGTACTATTTTTTGACCTGATTACCGCGGCAGTAAGATTTGACAGACAGTTATTAACATTGGGTCGGCATAGCCTCCCCAAAAACCCGCTTTGATGAGGACATCTTTAACAAAATCAACATCTTTAAGAGTACATTCAAACGTTTTATTAACTCCCCCACCCATCATCTAAAAACAAAACAAATCTGATTCCCTGAAGACGAATGAATTTTACAATACATCTTAAACATTTAGTCCAAATAAACGGTGCTGACGTCAACCCAAATGGTAATACAGTAAAAACATAATATTTAAGCTTAGCGTTCTCAGTCCATGAAAATCCCAAAAATGTTTGTTGTGCTGTGGCTATATCTATGTGGTGATATGCAGATGAAATGTCAAATTTAAACATAAAACCATCCTTTAACAAATAATCTGACGCGACCTTCCAGTCCTCAAATTTAAAATGTTCCTTCTTAACAAATGTATTCATGACACTTAAATCTAAAATTAAACGCTTTTTTCCCGAACTGTTCACAGACACTGAAAGAGGGTTTACCAAAAAAGGCTGAAAAGGCACTTCTAACACACAGCCAGACTTAACTAAATCAGCAACTGCGTCAGTTACAAAATCTGAATGGTCTAATGCAGATTTATTATTTTTCATGAAATATGATTGAGGAATATTATCAAAAGGTATGACGTAACCATTTTTTACTACATCAAAAATAAAATCAGATGCCTCTAAAACATTACAACAATAATTAGCGTGTAATCTCAGTCTACCCTTTACGCCCGAATTTACTTCAAAATTATCTTCTTTAGAAACATATTGAAATTCAAAATATCTTGAATGTGAACATAAAATATCAGTTTCAACTTCATTTACTGAAAAATTACAGAAAATACTATGAGCTGAAAAATACTCATCTATATCACTAAACTGTCTTTCTTCAGTTTGTTTCGGCTGGCTGTGGCTTGAATGACATTCCTCGGTTATCGCCCTTGATTCCTGTTGGGGACTGGTACGTGATGATTCCCGGGGAAGTTCTGCTGATGTCGGGAACGGGACGATATCTCTGCCCTTGAAACGATGAATATTGTTGAAACTTTGGACACAGTGAGTCTGCCCTGACGTGCCCGAAACCTGCACATGCGAAGCATTGGACTCTCCGAAAGGGACGAAAAGTTTCAAATTGACTACTAGTAGTAGTAGAAATAGAATTAGTCGCAGAGGCTCGACTACTGGATAACTTTCTCTTCTTTGACAATGCCCTTGCCTCGGCTCTACGAATTTTACGATCATCGTCGCTATCACTTGCCAATTCGTCGGACTCGTATTCTGCGACGGTACCCCACCCAGCAGGGGATTTGTCTGCTAACCTGACAAGTTTATTCCTCTTATGTAATTTCTGCACTGTAGACTCAAGCAACTGAAGCGAACTTAACTGTTCTCCTGACTTCACTAAAGACTGTACTCGCTCAATGTCTTCTAAAACTTCACAATTGAAATCGTACTGTCGCTTGTTTCCTTTATATTTAAAGTCAACAGGTGAGCGTTTACTGGCAGTTTCTTGAAACTTGCGAATGCTTTTCTCTGAACACCCAGAAAATTCCTCTCTTATTTCTTCTTTGAAAGTAGAAAGTTCTTCTTTCAGAAATGATTTAAAATCAATAAAGTCCTTCCCATAATTTGAAGGACATTCACCACGTGTACTCTCCATAAAGAAAAATGTGTAACGCGCACAATACGATGTGTTCAATGCAATGCGAAGTCCTCGAGTGGCGATTTACCCGCCTTTCCATATCAATACCGGCGAGCACGAAATATTCGTGCTAACTATGTTATACCTCACTTAACCGGACAATTATAACTCTTAACCTGCAATAAATACATTAATCCTCTCAAATGTCGGATAAATGAGCCGCGTCACGACAAAACCAACATAGTGCTTTTGCGACCAGCATGGATCCAGACCAGCCTGCGCATCCGCGCAGTCTGATCAGGATCCATGCTGTTCGCTATCAGTTTCTCTACTTGTAATAGGGTGGTTTGCAAGCGACCAGCATGGATCCTGATCAGAATGCGCGGATGCGCAGGCTGGTCTGGATCCATGCTGGTCGCAAACGCACTATGTAGTTTTGTCGTGACGCGGCTCAAATGGTGAGGGGCAAGTAATTCAAGGTAAACGTCTTCAACTACTTTACCAATAAGACCCTAATATTGAAACTAAGTAACAAATGGCAAAATATTACAAGGTAACAATATTTATATCATAAGACATATAAAACATTCTATGTTAACTGGCAAGTAAATGCTCATGAATATATTGATAATCAATTAGGACGTAATGTGTTACTATCTGAATAAAATCATTTAATCCAAAGTGGCAATCTTGTTTTCTGTCAACTTGTTATCAAGTCATTTAATTTATATAAAATGACATTTTCTGTTGCGCAAGTATAGCTTCATTTCAATGACAAAATCATCACCTAACAGGTTTTTACATTATTTTAATTTGCAATATCACTTTTTTAAACGTGTTTGGTTCAAATTATAAAAAATAATGTTGTTCTGAACTGCTATACGCATGATAAAATGACATCTTGGTTTAATAGCAACATGCAACAAACGGAGTGTTGATTCAGGACACCTGGACTTTCAGGACACATATATTTATCATTGGGCTTGTTTTGACCAATAATACAACACGGTTATTTGGTTTGCCCTTGCTTTGTATTGTTTGCGTGAAGCTATCTTTATTTTCAATATTGCGAAGTGATTTAAACAGCAGTAATACATGTAGTACAAAAGACAAAATAAAAATTACAGGAATATTTCATAGAACAAATTTATTCTGATACGAATACCAGAGACAACGTATCGGAATTCTGAAGAAAAAAGCTAAATGCCCGAGGACATTTACTATAGCCCTATAAAATAAAAGTTTATGTTATGCATGCACTTGATTTAAAACAGCCACGGGTGATGTGCGCTTTAAATACCTACTTTTGTTCAAGAGTCATAATTAAAAAGACATTATGTATAATAGGCAGTAATTTTATTTGTTTACTTAAGTAGCATTCTATTACCACTTAAAATGTTCATGTACTTTTCTTGTTATAATGTCTGACTGTTATCATACTTGTCGAGTAGTTCAGTCAGTCTGTGTTCTATCAATCCAATTTTCACGGCAAGTTTCCGACACTTATGTCTCACCTCTTCCTGGATCAAATGGAAAGACATTGCCAGTAATGCCATGCCAAACAACAAATACATCGCTCCAAACACACGTTTCATATCATTGTCCAAGCGTCCCATTCCAGGAACAAAGTCACCAAAGCCAATCGTTGTAAGCGTTATAAAGCAAAAGTAAAACGCCACAAGGAAATTCCATGACTCTTCCCAGGATGCAAATATTAATGCACCGAGCATGATGTATCCGGTTACCAAAAGGAGGCAAACGGAAATCGGAACAAGATCACGTGTTTCTTTCAGTTTTGTTTTCAAAAGTCGTTCATCTTCTTCAAAGTCTGTAAGCGACAGAGAGCTTGTTGTTCTAGAGTGATTATCAGTGTCAGTTGATGCCGTTCGTTTGCGTTCATGATGACCAATATCATCAATCGTGACATCTGGTTGTCCGTCTTCCGGGATAACCGAAAGATCATGACTTGCATGCACTGCACCGTAGCGGTGATGAGGTGATAACGAATATTTTCTTCCTCGGGTAACTTTAGTGGTGTCCTTTAGCAAACTATCCGAGTGTCGTCTGTTTCGCTTAGAGAGGGATTTGGAACCCTTAACTTTAAGTTCTTCTATAAGCTCTTTGTTTTTATCAATAGCCAGCTGTTCAGTTTCCATGTTAACATTCACTTCCTGTTCTTCAATCGAATCAATCTCTATATGGTTATGATGAAGAATTGACGACACGTGAGACTGCTGTCGTCTGGCCCAGTCGCGAATATCTTTTGTCTTACCTTGTAACCTCTTCATAAATCGTTTCTTAATACGTTTACGCTTTAGTTTGATGTATTGGTAAGTCATGTTCATACAAGCGTGACGGTAAATTAACCGGAAACAGCCAGCCATCAGGTTCCCTATGTTATGTAGACACAGCATGGTTAAGGGATACCACCTATTCCATACACGATTGTCAGCAAACGCCCGCCTATTGTCTTAGGCGTTATGTTTCCATAACCTACAAGTAAACATTTATATCAGTATAATTACATTTTATTTCGATAAGACATTAATTTTATAAATATATTATTGTCATACTCTCGTGAATTATACTGTGATTTTTATTTAAATTAGAAAGTGTAAATTGTTAATAAAGAAACCTCCTGTCAAAAATGGCTATAACTTTCATTTTTGTACAAGCGTCTTAATATATACTTTTTTCTCCAAAAAAAATTCTACCCTCTTCTAACGCAGTACAGGCAATTCTTCATTTTATACGCATCATAATCGTACGAAATTTCCGTGAACAGTTTGTAAATCAACCTGTCTATAATCAATGTATTATACATTTTTCAAAATATCAAGTAATTACAGGTACATGTAATATAATTTTCATATAATCTAAAATGAAATTAGAGGTCTATACTTCTTCAATATAAATGATGTGGATTACATTTCCAATAAATTTCATCTAAACTGAAGTATGATTTATTACTATTCAAAGTTCAAACATTTTATTGTTTATTTATTGTATTAAAAATGAATAAAAAACAATCATGTAATAAAAGTTTTTGTAAAGATTTTGAACCAGTTTGCTTCCGTGTTTAAGAGAAAAGTTCAAATAATAGTGCTATATTATATTACAATAACTAAAATATTCAAAGTTTAGAAATGACGACAATACTTTTATTTTAAACCGGAGTATAAGGTTTAAACACCATTCAATTTCGTTGTTTAATAAGCGTAGTATTTTTTTTATTATTTATATTCACATTTTCCACATACGAAGCATATTTTATCTAGAAATATTCTAGGGAAGCCAGTGTTTATTATTATACTACTTCCCATAGGCTTTAAGATCGACATCGTTTGGTCGAGGGTTGTTTAAAATGTTATATTGCTAGCTTGGAAATCTTATAATTTTGTCGGTTTTAAATCGGTTTTGCCAAGACATATTATATTTGTTGGTAGCTTGATATGGAAAAATCTTCACTAAGAAATTTATTCAAAAAATCAGAATAGGTACGCTTGACCTTTGCGTGCGCGAAACATGCGTATGAAAATTTGTTTGTTCACAAATTTCAAACATACATATGCGGATAAAATATGTATAATTTCCATTGAATAAGAATTCAATCTGTCTATAATTTGAAGTGATCGAAATAGATTTATATGTCAAAAAATGTCCCTTAAGTTAACAAGACATTTTTATTGGTTCGTAATCAAGTTGTTTTAGATAATTATGTATTTATATACTTTCCAATTACAACAGCTTAAATGTAAACATAACAACTAATCTGACGATAACGTCAAAATGTGTGATTGTACGATACCGTATACCGTTGTGTATCATTTGATAGAAATTTCATCTGTAAATATTGTCACGAAATGCAAAATATTTCAATTAAGTCATACAAAAAGAGTTTTATAAATAATAAAAAGAATAATTTGACTGATGAAATGCAATCACATTTTCATAGTATTTAATTTTGAATTATATGCATCAATAAATAAAAACGCTGTAAATCACATAAAGAATAAAGCGATAATAGCCAGTCTTTTGAAAGACCCTCATGCGTGTATATTTAACTTGAGAGAAATGGAAATGAACAGAGACCATGTGTTTTACATTTTAAAGTATGCTTGTTTCTGGGAAATTAGCTGAACATTGGGAAGTAATATGCAATATATCGAGACTAACTAAACAGTAATAACTAAATATAAGTTACCTATAAATCATGTTATTACATCACACGCAAATCGTAAAAGAAAAAACAATAAAACAGACTTTTTCTCAAAATGAAAATTATTTTTCAAAGTTATCCTGGTGTTATGCAAAGACCTTTTTATGAGAAAAGAAAATCCAACAAAATCTTAGAATATATTTTCCAACAATAATGTTTTTCTTTGCAACAAACATAACATTTACCAAATGCAAAAATATTTGGGGAAACGAAAACATTATGTTCTTTTATAACGCTATTATCAATTTACTGGAGACCTGCAAGCACATTAAATTTTTGAAAATACTATAACTTTGAAGTTATTTTTTACATATTTCAAACCTTAGATTATAATGAACACTATTTTTTTTTAATTTGTACTACATGGCGTCTTTATGAAATCAAAAGTAATGTTCATAAATAACTGATATCATCTTACCGATGGTTGAAATGACTGTAACAGAATATAAAAGGGACTCTGCAAAGGACCACTGAAAATCGTCCCCTTCAAATCGTCCATCCCAGTCTCTTTCCTCGGTAAAAACATATACTTCATCTTGATATTCCTTCAACAAATCATCCAGTCGTCTATTCAGAGCAGGTTTGTCCAAAACCTTTTGAATGTCCGAGCCGTCGAATAATTCTACAATTTTTCTAGCGTAAGAGTTTTTGGTATCAACAGCGTCTTGTCGGATCAGCTTCTCTTCAGGCAACTCAACGGCTTTGAAGAGGATTCCACCAAGAATGGCGTATCCAACCACAAGACAAGTTAGGCCAACATGCGAGAACAAAAAGGCGATAAAACGTCTCAAACATTTTATGAACACACGAAGACAAGATTGACACCGAGTCTCTGTTTCAATATTCATATCCTCAGTGTTCTCCTTTTCATCTAATGTATCCACATTTTCTATGGAACTTCCTTCAGAAATTTCTGACTTTTCCATTTCAAATATTTACTTTTTTATATAGATTATTATCTTATTTTTATGTTCTTTAATCTAGTATGTTTTATATCAGTTTAATTTCGCATTGCACTATTGCAACGTAGAAATCCCACGCAATTCTGCCCTTTGTTATTAATTTTAACAATTCCGTTTTTATTAATTTCCTTTATAAAATCCTAGCTTTGTGGAAACTTTCATTTTAAAAGCTTCGGTATATCTCATATTCTAGCAAGTCTAAAATCGACTTATACATTATTGCAATTATGTTTCTATTGTTTGTACAGCCGCATTTTGAAGTGTTTCAGGAACATCCAATTCATAACAATTCGTTCCTTTTCATATAATTAGAGGCTTTCATATCCAGCCATCTGTTTTATGAGCAGCAAATAAAAATAATGGAACATTATCTGAGGAATTATCAAAGATGATAAATCAAATATAACAAGTTTATCAATACCTGCATTAAGAAATATCCGCTCTAGAACGAGATAATCTATTGTTATACTGCATTGTTTACCTCATTACTATATCACAATGTTTTAATTGGTTTCAGAACACTTAGGTTTTTCTCGTAACGCCTTCTTGGTTGAATATTTTCAATTTAAACTGGATGAATAAAATGTATAAAATAAATGTTGAATACATAAAGTATGGACATCATTATTTCTCGCTTTTGTATTATCTATTATATAGCATGGCTACATCTGCCCTGCTTTGAATTTAGAATCCTGAAGAAAGGAAAACATAGGGCAAAAAACATTAGCATGTAGTTTCACTTCCTAAAATGGCTGGGTGGAAGTTGCAACATAATTATGCATATTATTTAGCCCTGCATAAAACTATTCTGATATAAAATGTTAGAGACATCGCATTGAAACGTGTTCATGTAACCCTTTTTTTCCATCCTCTTACTAACATGAACCACTTTCTAATTAATTGTATTGAATTTCTTACCTGAAACATCAAAAATTTCCACCCTAAATTAATTTTTCTTGCTTGATTTGCAGTCATTATGCAAGGTTGAAAATCACTTTTAACTAACAAACATTTTGCCATACTTCAAGGGTAGAATGCTGCATTTTATTTCAACTGAAAGTACACTTTGACAGGGAAAACATTAAAGTAAGTATCACTTCTAATTAACACGAATTTGAAAACAAATGTTTCTTACTAGTGCCACAGTTCTTGAAAAGGACTTAAAAGAGCAAAACACTCGTTTTTATGGGCAGATAATTCAAAAAGTATAAATCCCTTATTTCATTAGATTATATGTTTTAATTTTTACTCTTGCAAAATCAAAGAAATTGCGTCCATAAAATTAAATTTTCCATTCCTGTGTGTAAAAAATAACGTATTTAAAGTGTATAAAGCTATATATCTGCTGAAAAAAAAATATTGTTGATTTTTGTAAGTGAATGCTTCCAATATGCTTGTATAAAAAGTACACACAATTCGCGACCTATGATCCATATATTTTGCTTCTTTTAAAAGTCATCTTTTCAATGCACTAGATACACGTATGAACGTTTGTCATCGAAATGCAGATATGTTTTGAATCACATGCATCTTTAATTATACGAGTATGCAGTTAATCTTATCACAAAAAAAACTTTACAGTTCTTTTTTATTTCATCTTTTTTATTATTTTTTTTTTCATATGAATCTGACAAATAACTTTAAAACGAGTTAAATTGGGAAAAGAACATGCTAAATCTATTTTCCTCGAAAAAAAATGGTTAAATTCTTGCACACAAGCTATGTTGTTGTTGTTTTTATTTATTTATTTATTTATTTATCTTTTTTAACACACAGGTTTTATAGCCAGTCAGAGTCTCGACATAAAAAGTGTTAATTAATCCTATCCGCTTAAAGTATTTTTATGGCCAATGCTTGAACTACTCTCAAAGTTCTAAGTGGTGCCATTTCTTTCCTAAACATTCTAGTATTGTTACACTGCTTGGTAAAGTTTTCTCGAAAATAATGACGTATTTATTGTAGACAAAATACATACAAAGTGCATAAAAAATGTAAAAACAAAAACATAACAAACATTAAACAATACTTGTAATAAAGTCATTTTGAAAATATTTAAACAAGACTTAACTTTATAACTTTTCATTCAATACCTCTGGCTCACTCAAAAGAAATTTTATTTATTTACAAATGTATTTATTTCACTTTATCTAAAATTGAACATAAATAGAAACAGAAACGCTGGGCATATACCATTTTGCTTTATTGCAAATTTTAAAGAAAAAATTTAAAGAAAAATTTGTGTGTTTTTTTTTGTGTTTTTTTTTTGTTCTATATATACTGTGTGAATCAGCATAGAAGCATAAAATAAACCATATCAAGTTGTTCGTGGTGCTGTCTTTTATAAGTTTTTTTCAGAACGATTGATAATGTTTAATGGATTTGGCGTTATTTCCAAACTGTCCAAATATGCCCCTTAATCGTGTCATGATTTATTTCATTTTTATTGACTTCTTCTATTCAAATGTCTTAACCAATGGCCTTACATGACGAGGAGAGACCCAGTTTCGAAGATAGCAAAGCTTATTGGCTATAACTCTGCATTTTATTGATGTGCTAGATGGTATTAATGTGCAAAGTGAAAGAGGTAAATCATTATTTGAAGTTCAATATGTGATGCCAACATTCAAACATTGTAAAACAAACAATATTTTCATCTTCAGTGCAGCTATATATACATGTATAAACATATATAAGATATAACTTTATTGATGAATGACAATGTCCTATTTGTTCATGATCTACAAAGCAATAAAACTTTACAAGCTTTCATCTTTCTCAATTTTCTTTACAAAATTCCCGAGAATAACCTGAAATTTCTTACACTGGAAAATACCTTCACACTATTCTCGGTAACGTCTTCTAGACTTGTCGGGAATGGATGCTTTTTACTTTCACAAGCCCATAGGATTGATTGCAATTGACCTGATTCAAAAGGCATTACTATCGTAAAGGTTCCAAAAATAAACCAACGTTTTGTTTGAGCTGTTGTTTGGTTGCGGACACAAAATGAATTATTTGTTTTCATACCATTCGATGAAAATAAATCCTGTTTTATTTATAACAAAAAACAACTTGAATATCTTCTATATATTGTGTCCGTCCATTTTTTATTATTATTTATTTTTCCTTGTAATTCATTTAAATTTCAAACAAATCTAATATTTAAAGAATGTATGTTGCATCATATTGATACATGTTGTAAAACGAAAGAGAATTTTGAAGAGGGTGGGGTTAATTAAATCACAAATAAGACTGCTTTGTATAAAACTTGTGCTTTGCCTTGTGCCCTGTCCTGTTTTGTTTTGTGTCCTGCTGAGCTCCATGCCGATGGTCCTGTGTTGCCGGGTCGTGTGGGGGTTGCGTTCACTGAACGCCGCCCTTCCTTGATGATATTGTTTTTTGTCTATTTTTTCTTGTATTATTATCAATTCTATGAATCATTTAAAAACATTTCATACACATGTAGTTGCAAAAAACTTACATCGCTTCTTAAATGTATACATGGTATAGATCTGACATGATAAACTATGCTTTTAAAAGCTTATTTTTCTAATATCTATATATTGTATCATAGTTTGGAGACCTTTCTGTTGAAAATGTGTCAGGGTTAAATCGTATACATATACATGCACAGTGCGTTAACTGGAGTGCGGGTATTAGTTACCCGCACTCCAGAGCATGCCCATTGATTGGCTCATTTTTGCTGGGGTTTACATATTGTGACGGCAGAGAAAGGGAAAGCGTCTTCTCCAAATCCCTCCAGAGGCGTGCACGTCGCGGAGAAGGCACACGGCAGGTCAAGGTCAAGTCATCTCAAGTACCAGAGGTGATTGGTTGACCTGTCGTGACTAACTCTGGAGGGTGGCGCTAACAAGAGCCGTTTTATGTCAACCGCCTGTTTGCAGCCGTCACGGAACTTGATGCTTTTCCGGTATTGTCTTTCCTCCACTGAACGAAGAACAGGACTTAGGAAGATCGGCATGAAAAAGACGTCCCCGATGAGAC